AAGTTGCAGTACTCACGATCTCTGTGTCCTTCTCTTAAATCACACATAGAATTTCGATCTTCCACTGCTCTATCGACTTCCACCTATCTACCGAATGCTGACAGAGATTGCAAGGGGAAGTGGACAGAGTGTCTGCACACTGTCTGGGAATGCATAATCTCGCTGACATGATCGGATTGTGGGGAGTAAATGCACGAAACTTCGTCAGCTTATCAAGAATGGGAGTTTGGTGATTTTCTCAGCAGGCTAATCTGCGTGGTGTTGAGGGCGATGTCAGGATACCTGGTTGACCAGCCTCACGTTATTTGTTTTCTTGCTAGTCAGCTGTGTATCGAAAGTGTGAGTGACTGAGAGCTCCAGCTGTGTCTAGGTTGCTAGCCAATTGTCCACTGAGACTCCAGACAACACATACTCATTGAATGAACAGTGGCTTTCGTCTGAACTGCAAATCAGTACAGATTCTTGGCGTTGGTGTGTAGTGTGGAGGTGAGTTTTGAGTGAGACAACGGTGTGTCACTACGAGACTCTATATTTCACTTAAACCTCGGAGCTATGTGTGCTTGTATGGTGTAATCCCTGCGTGACAGGCGTGCAGGTGGCGAGTCACTTGCACTGCTTGATGGCTTTCCAGGTCGTATACTCGTCGGCCTCAACTAGAATCAACGTCAATGACTGATGCGTGTAAACCTTTGTGCTGTCGACATAACTGGCTGACTGCTTAGCCTGACCGATGTTTACATGGTGGTCAGGCTGACGCTGATAAAGCGAAACCTATGAGGCGGAAACATCATACTCACGCATGTCCGAGGATGTATTTGAGCAGACGGGTTAGTGAGAAGCTGTGTGAATGCAGAATGACAGACAGGACGATGTGGCCACCACCCTGTTGTCCCTTCAAACACTGATTGTTGACGGCCAAATGCCTCCGTGAACTGTAGGATTACGGGAGAGGAAATTGATGAAGGAAGATGAATAATTATACGGAGGTTCTCTGGAAGCACGAACTTGCCTCATCACATACAGGTTGGGGATGATCTTCGAGATTACTGGAAGCAGTGTTACTGGCCTACAGAAGTTGCAGTACTCACGATCTCTGTGTCCTTCTCTTAAATCACACATAGAATTTCGATCTTCCACTGCTCTATCGACTTCCACCTATCTACCGAATGCTGACAGAGATTGCAAGGGGAAGTGGACAGAGTGTCTGCACACTGTCTGGGAATGCATAATCTCGCTGACATGATCGGATTGTGGGGAGTAAATGCACGAAACTTCGTCAGCTTATCAAGAATGGGAGTTTGGTGATTTTCTCAGCAGGCTAATCTGCGTGGTGTTGAGGGCGATGTCAGGATACCTGGTTGACCAGCCTCACGTTATTTGTTTTCTTGCTAGTCAGCTGTGTATCGAAAGTGTGAGTGACTGAGAGCTCCAGCTGTGTCTAGGTTGCTAGCCAGTTGTCCACTGAGACTCCAGACAACACATACTCATTGAATGAACAGTGGCTTTCGTCTGAACTGCAAATCAGTACAGATTCTTGGCGTTGGTGTGTAGTGTGGAGGTGAGTTTTGAGTGAGACAACGGTGTGTCACTACGAGACTCTATATTTCACTTAAACCTCGGAGCTATGTGTGCTTGTATGGTGTAATCCCTGCGTGACAGGCGTGCAGGTGGCGAGTCACTTGCACTGCTTGATGGCTTTCCAGGTCGTATACTCGTCGGCCTCAACTAGAATCAACGTCAATGACTGATGCGTGTAAACCTTTGTGCTGTCGACATAACTGGCTGACTGCTTAGCCTGACCGATGTTTACATGGTGGTCAGGCTGACGCTGATAAAGCGAAACCTATGAGGCGGAAACATCATACTCACGCATGTCCGAGGATGTATTTGAGCAGACGGGTTAGTGAGAAGCTATGTGAATGCAGAATGACAGACAGGACGATGTGGCCACCACCCTGTTGTCCCTTCAAACACTGATTGTTGACGGCCAAATGCCTCCGTGAACTGTAGGATTACGGGAGAGGAAATTGATGAAGGAAGATGAATAATTATACGGAGGTTCTCTGGAAGCACGAACTTGCCTCATCACATACAGGTTGGGGATGATCTTCGAGATTACTGGAAGCAGTGTTACTGGCCTACAGAAGTTGCAGTACTCACGATCTCTGTGTCCTTCTCTTAAATCACACATAGAATTTCGATCTTCCACTGCTCTATCGACTTCCACCTATCTACCGAATGCTGACAGAGATTGCAAGGGGAAGTGGACAGAGTGTCTGCACACTGTCTGGGAATGCATAATCTCGCTGACATGATCGGATTGTGGGGAGTAAATGCACGAAACTTCGTCAGCTTATCAAGAATGGGAGTTTGGTGATTTTCTCAGCAGGCTAATCTGCGTGGTGTTGAGGGCGATGTCAGGATACCTGGTTGACCAGCCTCACGTTATTTGTTTTCTTGCTAGTCAGCTGTGTATCGAAAGTGTGAGTGACTGAGAGCTCCAGCTGTGTCTAGGTTGCTAGCCAATTGTCCACTGAGACTCCAGACAACACATACTCATTGAATGAACAGTGGCTTTCGTCTGAACTGCAAATCAGTACAGATTCTTGGCGTTGGTGTGTAGTGTGGAGGTGAGTTTTGAGTGAGACAACGGTGTGTCACTACGAGACTCTATATTTCACTTAAACCTCGGAGCTATGTGTGCTTGTATGGTGTAATCCCTGCGTGACAGGCGTGCAGGTGGCGAGTCACTTGCACTGCTTGATGGCTTTCCAGGTCGTATACTCGTCGGCCTCAACTAGAATCAACGTCAATGACTGATGCGTGTAAACCTTTGTGCTGTCGACATAACTGGCTGACTGCTTAGCCTGACCGATGTTTACATGGTGGTCAGGCTGACGCTGATAAAGCGAAACCTATGAGGCGGAAACATCATACTCACGCATGTCCGAGGATGTATTTGAGCAGACGGGTTAGTGAGAAGCTATGTGAATGCAGAATGACAGACAGGACGATGTGGCCACCACCCTGTTGTCCCTTCAAACACTGATTGTTGACGGCCAAATGCCTCCGTGAACTGTAGGATTACGGGAGAGGAAATTGATGAAGGAAGATGAATAATTATACGGAGGTTCTCTGGAAGCACGAACTTGCCTCATCACATACAGGTTGGGGATGATCTTCGAGATTACTGGAAGCAGTGTTACTGGCCTACAGAAGTTGCAGTAGTCACGATCTCTGTGTCCTTCTCTTAAATCACACATAGAATTTCGATCTTCCACTGCTCTATCGACTTCCGACTATCTCGATTTGAATGTTCCTTTTATGGTTATCCGCGAAATTTGGAGTCTTTTTACATACACAAATGAAATTCCCAATACCTTTCATTGCTTAGTAATATCAATTGGCATTTTTACACCCACACTTAACTACATAATATAGAAATGCTGCATAATTCTTGGTCGTTATCTATCAGAAACGCGTAATTTCGAGAAAAGACGGTTGGAATTATGCATAAGGAATTAAGGTAAGTAGTAGTAGAAGAGTTTTTTTTATTTCAATATGTGGTTGCTGTTAAAATTTAAACCTAGGATAGGATAAAACACTCTCTTCTGGGTCGTGAATGTTTGCTTCAAACATCAGCCTAATGTTATTACAACGATAATCTAAGTGGACGAATGAATATAGTAGATTTTAGTTTATTGCCCTGCTAGTTAGTCGTTTCCATTCGTATATTAATATTTTTGTTATTGGTAAGATGACAGCTGCATTTAAAAGTTTTCCTCCACGAAACTATCATCTAAATTGTTTGTTTTAATGATTAATGTCCATATAAGTGCCATATAGTGATAAAACGGCGAGTGGACACCGAATTTTTCTTCTTTGATTTTCTCTGAAGCTAAATAGTCTCTAGTCGATGAAGCATCTCATCATACTGATCACTGTCATTTTGTGGAGGTTCATATGTTTTAACCCAAAATATCTATGGGGGGCAATTAATTCGCAACCTCAGTCTCAATACAGTTTCCTCAGTTTGTTTTACGTCTACCCCGTTAAAATGAAACTAATGCTAGTGAAACATCAACCTCGAACTTAAAGCCCTATTTTACACTCGGAAAGCAAAGATATAAAATAAAATAATAATTAGAAAGGAATATTCTGTATGTTTTAAAACTAATATAATTATGTGTTTATGTATTGTTTTGGTCCAGAAAAGAAGGAAGAAAAGAGTACAGAAGGTAAAGTTAGAACGAAACATAACGTTCAAAATAAGTGCAAACAGGCCAATCATGATTACCATATATTAGCCATTTTTGCTTTTAATACTATTGATGAATACATTGAGTCGCTAGTTAATTATAAAAAAAAGAACAAAACTGAAAGACTAGTTGTGAATCTCAATCAGTGGATGGGTTTAATGTTTCCACTAACTTAACAGATTTCATTTCACTGTTTGATAGTGCCAAGATGAAATTCATGTGAAAGACATAGAGAGGTCATTTTCTTAGCTCATGATTAATAATAATAGGTTTGGTTTTACTTAAAGGACTGACTCCTTAACTGCATGAATTAAGTAGAAAATGAAATAATTTCAGTCTGTACAGGAATAGCTTAACAATCACTTAAAATGGGTAATATCGGTCTTATTTTGATGATGAGACCAGAAGGTGATGAAGTATACAGTTTTAAAGCGAAATATATCTGTTTACGTTTGCAATACAAAGAATTTATAAGGAGAGGTTTCTGTAGAAGTACTGTAATCATCTCAATACTAACTTTAAATAAAACATTGTAGAAATTGCGAATTAATGCCTCACTAATGTTTAATCGTATTTTACTTTACTTCATTAAAACAAAAGAAGAAAATCCAATATCTTCCAAATTTATTGATGAAATGTATAAAAAGGGATAAGAAAAATCACAGAAACGGTGGTGACTTACATTTAGATTTACACACGTATTAAATGTGTCCAGGATAGTGAAAAGAGATATCAGGTTAACTATAGTATTGTACACCGATGACAACATTTATTATGGGTAGTCGAGGTTTGGAGATAGCCATCTAGCCCTTCCTGATCAATATACTGAGGTAATGGTAAGTCTTTTGATGAAGGCATGTCATAATCATAGTTCATATGGTCAATATACACCTCTCTGTTTGTAAGGTACTGCGACTCGGCTTCAGGATTCGACGAATTTAATGACCCAGCATGATTACGTTTATCAGCGATTGTTGTTCTTCCATTTATTAAATTGTTATTTTCCAAATTATTTATATCTCTTGATAAGACAGTCACTTCGTTATGATGTGAAAAAACATCTAGAATATCTGAATGGTTGTTTGTATGTGATTTCGGTTGTTTTGAGTGAGGCTGCATGTCAAAAGGTCACACGAATAAAACCCAATTCATGAGCAAATACATTTTGACAAAGAATGTCGTAAATTAGAAAAATTAGGTAGTTTTTAACCGTTAGTTAAATATGATTTCACAATAAAATAACATAATTATTCACATCAACTGTAATACATTAACTATACATCAGCTTGTTTATGTTGTCTGAAAAGTCAGCATAGCAAAATAATGACTGGACTTCTTGACAGATTTATTCCGAAGAGTGAAAAATTAATTTACCATTTTTGTTTCGTTGTCATGTTTCATCTTCCTTATACCAAAAGCATGTCAGTCTGCCATACTGAAAATCTATTCTGCCTTACTTGTATCACCAGCTGAGCGGTATTAGAGCACTAATTATTATCCTCATAATTATTATTAGAACTGTTATTATGACGGTGATAATTAAATGAGTATTGCCTCAATAAATGTTGCGTGCAAAAAACAATTGTTGAAAATCAGGGGAACTTGGAAAACTGTTTTGTTACAGTTACAAACTCCTCTATAGCACAAAATCGTGTGTGACACTACCATGAATCGGGTCAATGACCTGCAGCCTACGAGGCAAGCACTTGACATTCAGATATCATGATGGAATAGAAAGCCCTTTAAATTTCAAAATCTATCATTTTATATATTGTTATCAGTATCCAATGTCATAAGTGAGTACGTTTCATAAGGTCTGAATTGGTGAACTCTACTGGTCACCACTTCTCATAGAAATCCAGGTAAGTTCATCTCATAGTCAGTCACTGATGAACGTTGGATTAATTTTCATATGATAACTTGACTTAGTTTGGAAATAGACTCCTGGTAGTTTTCATGAAATGTGTTCACTGTTGGGATCTATCCGGTTAAGTGTGATGATATATCCCGTCCGTCGACATTGATTACGGATAGTGGAATATCTGAAATTCTGGGATCATTAGATTTCATTTAGCTGGTTGTATGGTATCATGATCGTCTCGTATCCTGCGGGTGCTTGACTCTATCATTCGCATACTAGTGGTTGTGCACCAGTGAAAAGTTCTAGACTTGGACGAAGTGTAGCAGTTCAATTTAGCACTCTCCATAAGAAATATAATAAGCAGAAATATGTGGGAGAAGGAATAGTAACATGGAAAGCATGACGGTTTAATGGATTTGGGATGTCATAGAGAGTAAATGCGTCTGCGACAACGAGAACGATTTTATCACTCACGGTTTCCAGTCATTGATTCCCAGCATCCCAATAATTCCAACCAGGTAGCTTACTCCTGGTGAAATTCATAGTTAGGAATTCGTAGTGTACACAATTCCAGGGGTGAAATTTTACCATTGCTTCTTCTGGAAAGCAAATTATTCAGATCATAGTATTTGACCTGCTCGCTGTCATGATTGGTAATTAAGAAAGCAAGCACATTTGAATAAAACTATGTACTACTGATTGACTAAGATGAGTAGTTGTATACCATTCATATCAACCAGCAGTGCTTGCTAGCCGGATAGAGGTGATTTAAACGCCGGATGGCTCTCTTGATTGCCATTTATGATCTCACACAGATCACACACTGTGGTTTCAAAGGGAACTGTGGCGAAATTTCACCCCTCGAACCGTCTACATTAAATATTACTAACCAATTTGCAAATTGTGAATTCGATTTATGGCATAATCAGTTCGACCAAGTAGCTAGCCGGAAATCGGCTGATTTGAACTGGTTAGGCTTTTTGAGGTGAGTCGAACCAAGTACGCCACTGACGAGCTCGATCCCAAACGAGCGAAACGGTCATCTAGTGTTTGGATCACCTCATTTCGGCTAGCAAGCACTACTGGATGATCTGAATGGTATACAACTATTCATCCTGATCAATCAGTGGTATATAGTTTCATGCAAATAAACCTACACATGCATTTGTGTCTCACATTAACTGTCAATGACTTCACATAGTGATGTCTTCCTCTGGCTATCTTTGAGTCTTCTCTAGCCTATTCCTGTCAGCTAACATTGACCATCGAGGAAGGTGATAACTCGGTACGCAACACCCATCCAAGTTTTAAATGACGTTGTTTCTGGACCAAATCATTTTACAAGGCATGGGAATCTGATGGTGTTTGGAGATGAATGTCTAATCAATAAGACTTATGTGCGGGTAGTTTTTTGAACTAAAAGTACACACATCTTCATATAGTAATCTAGAGATTGTTACTGTTAAATACTTAAAATTCTGACTGTTTAGTCAAATAATATTACATTAAAGAATTTGTCAGTGACCCGTGCCTTTTCCAATAAACTCATTAGTTGTCATTGAGGTAAAATAACTTATGAAGTAGACATCTTTTATGCATATAGAAATCAAAGTTACACTCAGCTATCTTCGTTTATCTATGATACATATAATAATTTTGTCAAGTGGCATTATTCAGTTAATTATGCTTGTCTTATTTAATGAAAGAAGTAAACACAGTTGGTTCCTGTGTATTTCGGCGGCAAAGATGTGTTTCACTTTTCGATTTTAGGATAGGTGACATTCTGTTGCTTTAACTATTTAAGATATTAAAAATGACGATCAGATAATTAAAGGTATTGTTGCACACCACATATCCAACGGAAATTTGGGCTATTTAGTCTTTATATTGTATGCCCGTTTTGACAAGCAAGTAGTACCATAACTGGAAAATTTCCAGTGAAATATTGAATTAATATATATACGAAAGAAAAATAAATGATTACTTCTATGATGGGATAACATTTTCGAAACATATCGTTTGAAAAGAAAAATGATAACATCTGACCAACTTTTATGGTTATATCTACCTTAAAAATATATAAAGTTAATAGTCCTGAATTATATTGTACATTTTTAACATCCAAGTGAGTATTCGTCTTTTAATTGCTAAGTCACAACAAAATAAAATATCTAAATGTTTAAGATGTCTAATCCAGAAAATTTCATGGTGAAACCATTATTCCGTTAAATAATAAGGGTAATTAATAACAAATGACTGTAAAATTTGAACTTCCTTTGTAGGTAGGAATTTACCCAGTAATTAGAAGAATTCTTGTCTTGAACTTAATAGAAGTGTTTTCCTTTTTTTCACATATCTTCTTACTACGGGTTATTACTTTCTTATCCTCTCTATAGCTATTCAGTCACTGCTATATCCAGACAAAACTGTAATCGAACACAAGACAGTCGTTATTCATCATATTTCAGTAATTCTCATCGTTACATTAAGAACACAGTATTCAGCGAAGTGGCTATTTTCAAAGAATTCATTATCAAGCTGTACAATTTCACACCATGTTGCGTAATGTTTTATATTAACCTACTAATCAAATGATTGTACAACCCTTTCCAACACCCATACATATTATGAAATACCCTATATACGATAACAACTGTTTTGCCATTTCACACTGAACTCTGAATATAATTACATATATTTTAATCGCATTTCATACTATTATTATTTCATGTATACACACCTTTGACCTAATTCTCTCACCGGATATAATTTCTTGAAAACCATATATATGCGATTGTACAGCCTGATAAAAAGTTCGTCGAAAAGAGTCTCTTCGCTGAATATTTATCAAATTCCTATTATCTAGTTATTTTCACTGAACAATCAAGTGAACAGGTTTTCTGTTTTCATCTAATGATGCACTTGAAAATAACCAGGTACATCAATAAAAAGCAGTGGGGACTGGAATTATCCAATCCAACGAAGATTCTTTGAATACTCAGAAGTTATTTTAGAAATTCAACAAGGCATAATCACCTCATATCCATATCATGTTGATGTAATTACGAACAACCATTATTCAGTTATTATTAATGTATCACTGCGTGTTCTACCAGATAAACTTACCTATTGTGGAATTATATTATATCGCAGTGCCGAAATTTTACTCTTACACTGCTTGTTTTTATGACTAAAGATTATGACATTAGTTGAAATGTTAAATTTCATCGATATGTGAAAAAAAAATTGTTGTGAAACTTGCCTGTGTGTTTATATCAGGATACGTGTTTTCCAAAGTGTCAGAATCTTTAGAGTTCGCTAGATCAGAAAAGACACAATCGCGGTGTTTTTCAGCATGCTGTTCAGATGCATAGTGTTTTTGTCTTTGCAGTCTAGGTGAACTAGATACGGAACTAGCGTTTATTCCATTTGATTTAGAAGGTATATTTTTGCCTGTGATATTAATGTTGGAATTTTCATGTCTGGAAAATTCTGATCCTAAGTATGAGTTTTGGTGTTCTGTTGATTCATAACCCGGTGGTATGTCATCTAGGCCACTTGAAGAAGAATGAGCAAACTGAGCTTCTTCTCTGGCTTCACGTCTTGATAAATTTGATTTATCTCTCATTGAGGTCCGATGAACAGAGGATGTACTTAAAGCAACAATAATTGTAATTTTCAGTTGAGTGGAAAATAAAGTTAGAAAGTTAGACAGACATAGTGGTATAAGTCTTTTTTAAAGAAATCAAATCATAAATGCAATGATCCTCATAAACTTTGTAAAAACGAGATAAAAAAATAGAAAGATTTTACCATTTACGACGGAGTAAAATAAAGACAAAATGACGATGGAAAAATGGGGAAGTTCCTAGAATTTTATAGATGATGACGAATGCACACTTATTTCATATTATTAACCTTGCCTAGTTAACTAGCTTGCCAGTTTTCTAGCCATTCCAAAGCCCGGGTAAAGACGTAGGGTTGCGCGTAGGGCTAGCAACCCTACAATACTAAACCTATTAAATCGCTAGAGAAACTTCAAAACATAAAAAATATATTAAAAATACAAAAAATTCAAATAACAATCTTATTATTCGCTGGAATCGGAGAGGCGAAATGAGGTGGGCTGGCAAAAGCCTCCGTCAAGCCAGTCAGCCAGTCGATGGGTCTTCTCCCGATGAAAGCAAGAATAAGAATGGGGACGTGGTATGTCCGTACAATGTTCGAGAGTGGGAAGGCTGCTCAGGTAGCCAACGAAATGCGAAGATATGGTGTACAAGTGATGGGTATCTGTGAGAGCAGATGGAATGGATGTGAATTATCGAAATTGTCAACTGGAAAGTCAGTAATCTACTCCAGTCTGGTCACACAGACACCAACCAAGAGCACACTGAGGCAATGAGTGGCTACAGTGATGTCACCAGTGACAACCAGAGGCCTAATGCAGTGGGGACCAATTTCATCCAGGATCATGACAGCAAGATTCAACTCCAAAGATAGAAAGATGAAAATTATCTAATGCTATGCACAATGCTACAAACAACGCGGAACAAGAAAAGAAGGAGGATTTTTACAGACGACTGCAAACAGTAATGGACAATATCACAAATGGTGACATCAAACTCCTTATGGGCGATATGAAGGCCAAACCATGAGCAGATAATACGGGAAGAGAACTCATCATGGGTCGAGAGGCTCTCGGAGAAATGAATGAGAACGGAGAATTATTCTCAGACTTTTGAGCTTTGGTGATCGGAGGGAGCGTGTACAAACAAAAGGATATACATAAAGCAATATGGATTTCGCCTGATGGACATACCACAAACCAGATGGATTTCATCTCAATGCTGTTCGAGGAAGTGGAGACGCGGCCAGTCAGCTGGACACAGAGTCCAGAAGGGACACAGATGTGGCCTCAGATCATCATCTATTTCAAGGAACCTTCAGGGTGAAGCTGAAATCCTTCAAAACATCTGGAGACTGGCCACAATTGAAGTTTGACATTCAGAAACTGAAGGACAAAACCACGGGGATGCCTTCGCTACAGATCAAATTAGAGCAAAGTCGGAGACACCACGTGTTATCACCGAGGAAACCTGCTTGGAAGAATACTGGAACTCTCTGAAGGCAATATTCAAGGAACCGTGTACAGCTGTTCTAGGAAGAAAGAAGAGACAAGACGAGGAATGACTCTGAACGGACGTCACCTAGAAGGTAATAGAAGAGAGGAGAGGAGGATGGTGAGAGAGAAGATGGGCAACAGAAAGAGAAGCTGAGTTCAATGTACACTGCAGTGAATAAAGAGGTGAAGAAGAATGCTAGGAAAGACAAAAGACAATTCTACGACACACTAGCAGCTGAAGCAGAACAGGCAGGCCGCAGGTAAAACAGACCTCAGAACATTATATCGAATAACCAGATGACGAAACCAATAAAAGATGCTCAAAGGAACCTGATCAACAAGGAGGAGAAACAAATAAATCAATGGACTGATCACTTCAAAGCACTCCTGAATCGACCATCACCTGCAACTCGGCCAGAAATACCACCACCATCAACAACACGCACAGAACTGCATGCCAGTAGACACCAATCCTCCAATGAAAGCAGAGATCCTGAATGCGATCAAGCTACTGAAGTACAGTCCGGGAAGGCAGCAGGACCAGACACAATTCCCTCTGAAGCACAGTAAACAGACTTGGAGGCTGTCGCAGATGTGCTCACGCCATTATTGCAGACATTTTGGAAAGAAGGAAAGGTACCTACCGACCGGAAGAAAGGCTACCTCGTCAAGCTGCCAAAGAAGGGCGACTTACGCCTCACTCTGCAAGAACTGGCGTGGAATCATGCTCTTGTCGACGCCAAGTAAAATACTGAGTCGCATCATCCTGGAGTGAGTAAAGGATGAACTGGATACAGAACTCCGCCAACCGGAAATAGTTAGATTCAAGAAAGGCAAATCATGTGCTGATCAAATTGCAACTCTACGCATCGTCATCGAACAAAGCATGGAATGGCAATCAGACCCCTCTCTACCTCATCTTCATCGACTTCGAGAAGGCCTTCGACAGACAGCGTTGACCAGGAACTAATTTGGAAACTGCTTCAAAACTGCAACGTGCCTCAAGTCTTTATAGACCTCATTCAACAGCTGGCTGTATGACAATGCCTAATGTCATGTGATCCACAACGGAAAACTCATCGAGGCATTCGAAGCACATACAGGAGTAAGACAAGCTGGCTGTCTTTTATCACCGATGATATTCTTAATTGTGGTGCACTGGATTATGCGTCAGACTGTGTTTGGGATCGAGGACACAGGAATAAGCTATACCACTGATAAGAAGATTAGAAGATCTGGATTTCGTTGATGATATATTTCTAATATCACACAAACTCGAAACCTTACAGGCGAAAACCAACAAACTGGCTGCAGAGGCAGTGAAGACAGGACTCCAGGTAAACATAGAGAAGGCTGAGGTGATGAAGATAACCAAGCTTTAACAACAACAACAACCAACACCAATCACCATGAGCGGGAGAGATTCATCAGAGGTTACCTTCTTCACTTATCCAGCTAGAACGCATCGTTTTAACTACAGGCGGGACGGATGAAGATGTGAAAGATAGACAGAATCGGAAAGGCGAGATAGGCATTCATCAACCTGAAACCAGTTTGGAAATCTTCTACAGTCAACATAAGTAACAAGATTCGCATTTTCAACACTAATGTCAAGTCGGTCCTTACACAGGGGGTCAGAAACTTGTACTGGGTGTCACGAAATGGATTTCTAACAGGTTAAAATCTTTTATCAACAGCTGCCTTTGCTCCATACTGAAGATCAAATGGCCAGAAGGAGTCAGTAACAATAAACTGTGGGAACAAACCAACGAATATGTAGGAGAAAATGGAGATGGATTGATCGGGCATACATTGAGGAAACAGTCGAATGATATCTCGCGCGATGGAGGCCATCGCTCGAGTGGAATCCGAATAGGAAGCGACGAGTGCATCGTCGGTGCGAGTGTGACATAGGGGAGTTCGTGAGAGGAAGAGATGAGAGAGTTTGGTCAATCGTGGACCCAAATGAAGAGGACGACAGAAGATGGGACAAATTGGAAATGAGTTGTTGAAGCCCTTTGTTTCACTCGGAATCTAAGGGAACAATGATAATAAGTAATTATATTTCATATTATTATAATTATTATTTCCATACGACTAGGGTGAGGATTACCATACATACATCTTTATTCGCGTAAAAATTTCTCCACATAATTTGCAATCAGAAAAAGCTATATCTTGTCACGTTGTGGTTGTTCATTTTGAATCATGACGCTGCCTTCTGAAATCGAACATAATGTAACAAAAAGCAAAGTTACTAGAGTAGAATGTTTACCAGCCTATCACTGGAGCGAAATTCAGCGGTCCATCATTTCTAATTTGTGTCATTTCGAGACATAGAATGCCACAGCCAACCAGTTTCATATATATAGCAAAGTTGGCAAAGGTTGGAATTGATGAGCTATTGGATTCCGTTCCTATAGCTGAATGTTAGACGAGTTTACTCTGTAATTTGAAGGTCTTGAGTTCTATCCCCAGTGAAGTCTTGAGTGCATGGTGATGAAGAGTTCCAAACTAGGACAGAATAGTTATCCAGCATATTTTCGACACTGTCCTTCATTTCTCTGGAGAATTTTCCAGATAAAATTAAGCGGTTTCACTTTTGTCAAACAACCTTTCGATGTTAAATTCTATTGGATAGTGCGATATTAAACGATGAATTATATACTCATCGTAGTCTAAGAATCTGGTGCACTCGGTGTCATCATGCTTCTCTAGTAATCCATCTGATTAATTTTGGTCAGTTGATTGGTAGGCGGTTTTCAAACTGTCTATGAAGACTGTAGATTCAGTCAGTATTCATGATTAAAGTGAATTTGATTTCGTAAAACACATTTAGGCTTTCCACTATTTGTGATGGATGTTGTGATTTGCAAAAAACATGCTTTGCGGTGATACTGTTGTTCATGAGCTAAGTCAGTTGAAAATGAGCTATAATTCGGTTAGTGACAGGCAGTGCGTATCTGGAATAAGATAACCTAACCACGCTGGTTAGTTTAAAGTATTTGTGCTTCTATGTTTTCTGGTAGAATTCTGACGAAGCCATCGTGGCAATACTTCTTCCTGAACATATTTCTCAAGGGACACTCTTAATATTTTCATAGTGGTTGTGTCATGCAATGTTTTGACTCTGAGAAAGTGATGTCTGCAGGCACAATTTCCAATGTTCTATGGGAAAAGTCGCTGTCACAACTTGATGCTAATGCTAGAAGAGAATCTCGTTAAGGAAAATGCAACCAAGAGACAAGCAACAGAGAACTAATTTCCAGTCTTCTTAGATATAGTGAAAAAATGCCCTAATCAACGGAATGAAAACAATCAGGTGGATTACTAGAAAAACATGCTGACACCAGATAGTTATACTGCAATGAATAGCTAATTCTTGTATTAATAACATCGAAAAGTCTTTCGACAATGATCACTGCTCTTAACTGTATTTGGAAAGTTTTCAAATAATATGAAGGACAATGCCAAAATATTGGTCCAACTCGTAAATGTGTCATACTTCTTGATGCTAATGAGGCGTACATGCTTTTATACGCATTTCTTACCAATACTATCTTTCCCTATTTCAGGTCCATGGAAAATATATTAAATAAGTTGAAATATTTCATTCATAAAATTTTCCTATGAATAAAGAATTAGCGAAACACCTACCTTCTTCTTCGGCGAAGTGGTCTTGGGGCGCCATTCGATTCCATCAACCTAACGTTTGACCTAAGTTTTTCTCTCATATTCCAAATTGCACATACTTCATCGTGAGTTTCATCGTTATCACATATTGCTGAAATGCAGTAAACAGGATGAAAATACAAAAAAAGATTTTGGTTACATTTGTGTATTTGCTAATGTGTGCATAAGTACATATTATAGAAGGAAGTCACAGCTTGCTAAAATGACCAAAAAAGAATTCAAAGCCTCATTTGTAATTTCATTACTCTTTTCCTGTAAATGATGACTGTTAAATTATGTGGTTTCAGATGTTAGCACACGAATAACTATTACTCAGCAGCTGATGCTCAGGTCAAATAAATATATAAATATTCTTCTGAATAAGATTTGAGTAATTAGCATAAAACTGTTTTTTATCTCAGAAAATTTTAACTAAACGAGTAATATCAATAAATAAAACTTTTATATAAAATCCGATGAAAAGGGCAGCTAAAATTTGAACAGTGATCAAGTGGTTGACTTGTAAAATAGTTACCATTAGGTCTCAAGATCCTATATAGGAAGTTTTATCAAACACATTCCTGAAGTACACCTAAATAGTACTGCTGATATCGAGATAATAATAATATTCCTAAGACAAGTTAATTGCGTACAAATCTCTTAATACAGAGACACGGATGAAACTTTTTAAATATTTAGTTTAATTAATTCCTTATAAGGGGGTTTAGCACCACTAAAGAATATAAAGCATAGTAACTCAAATTTTTATTTCTATTTTATGGTCAACAGTAATATTGATTCATAAAGAGAAATGAATATTGTTTAATATAATGAGTAACTAATGAAATAAACAGCAGTAAGCTAAAAATGTCAAGTGATCCACAACGGAAAACTCAGCGAAGCGTTTGGAGTAAACACAGGAGTCAGACAAGGGTGCTTATTATCACCAATGATATTCCTAATTGTGGTGGACTGGATTATGCGTCAGACAGTGGGAAACGAGAAGACAGGGATATCCTGGACCGACGTGAAGAACCTAGAAGACCTGGATTTCGTCGATGATTTATGTTTGATGTCACACAAAATCGAAGACTTACAAGCGAAAACCGACAAACTGGTCGAAGAAGCAGCAAAGACAGGACTCCAGGTGAACATAGACAAGACGGAGGTTATGAAAATAACCAACCAACAACAGCAGCAACATCCAGTGCCAATCACCATCAACGGGAGGGATTTGAAAGAGGTTACTTCTTTCACTTATCTGGGGAGCATTGTCTCAACCACAGGAGGAACGGACGAGGATGTCAAATCGAGAATCGGGAAGGCGAGAAACACATTCACCAACCTGAAACCAATCTGGAAATCTTCGTCACTCACCATCAACAACAAAATTCGGATTTTCAATACAAACGTCAAGTCAATTTTGCTTTACGGATCAGAAACTTGGCGGGTCACCAAGAATATTTTCAACAGGTTGCAGACCTTTATCAACAACTGTCTTTGCTCCATACTGAAGATTAGATGGCCACAAAGAATCACAAACAAGAAGCTATGGGAACAAACGAAACAGGAACCAATCGCCCAACAAATATGCAGGAGGAAGTGGAGATGGATTGGACACTCGCTGAGGAGGCCGTTGAGTGACATCGCGCGTCAAGCCCTCGAGTGGAACCCGAAAGGGAAGCGGCGAGTGGGACGTCCAAGTGTGACATGGAGGAGATCGTGTGAGGAGGAGATGAAACAGTATGGAATAACATGGACGCAAGTGAAAAGTACAGCACAAGACAGAAGCAAGTGGAGACGTGCAGTTGAAGCCCTATGTTCCACTAGGAACCCAAGGGAACAATAATAATAATAAGCTAAAAATAAGTAATCACTATGCAGTTAAAACTACCGAAACAAGATTCATAGATTCAGGTTACTATCACCTAACTATGGATTAATTGCACATATATTGAATCCCTAGAGATCAAGGTGGGCTGTCGATGTTTAGTTAATGCAGTCATTAAATTTTCTCAGATTCTTAGCCCATTTTTTAGGTGTTTACATCAGCCAATTTAAATTCACTTATAAGGAATTTTAAATAAGGAAATTTCGAATTATCAACAGTGTTAGAAATTCGGGAGTGTATTCGAATGTTTTCATTTTTCACAGACTAAATTGGCTGCTATCAAACAAATAAAAGAAACCTAAATTTAAATTAAGGATCGGCGGTAGTGTTTGTAGCTGTTGTACTGAATGAGGAATCAAATATATATTTTGTCTTCAGGATTACAAACGCCCCTTAATGTTAATTAGATGGACATATCAAATATGACGGATACATTGTGATCTTACCGCCTGACTAAGACCTATATAACACGCTTCAATTCATATGAACATTCTTGTTTCAAATACTTCATGTAAGATTATTTAACTGCATTGGAGTGCACCGAAATCTCATGATTATTTGTTTTGTGGAAACGAAAACACAAAATGTAGCACAACGTCAAGTAGATAGTCTGTAAATATTATGTATCCCCAGGAGGTAATTATCAAAAGTAGAAAAGTTGATCAATCCCTCTAAAGCACATGAACTACTCTATGATGTCTGTATATTCATCACATAAATCTATCTAAAATAACCAAATTATCGTCTTTGTGTTTAATTCTTAGCACTCATATTTTATATTTCACTTTCACATAGTCAAATATTCAACTTCATTAATTAAAGCAACAGTAGATTATAATGACTGGAAGATAAAATTATTTTCATGTATTGGTTTTTTTGTAGGGATTTAGTTTGATTGGTTGGAGGATTTCATCATGAGATGACATCAGTAAGAGAACCATTAGAAAACCTGGGAGTACTGGACAGCTGTTTCGTCCTAGTTTGGGACTCTTCATCAGCACGCATTATCAGTATCCATTATCAGGAAAATTACCAAAAGTACCAGATACAATAAAAAGCACTTTTCATAACAGTAGAAAAAGTGACGTGTTTTCAAAGTGACGGTTAAGTTCATTTGAATTTTCACAGTTAACGTTGAATCAATATAATAGACTTTTTACTTACTGAAGACTGTTCTTCCGTCCGGTACTGGTAAAGTAAGGTCAGCGCCATGTGATACAAGTAATTTGATCATTTCCAGCTATATTACATTTGGATAATAAAAGAGAACAAATAATATCGTGAAAATGATTCTCAAAGCTGTTCGTAGTAAAGAGTATCGAATTAATCTGAAATCTGCGAAGTGAGAAATTATCAGTCTTTGTTCAGTGGTATAGCCAATACACTCAAAACTAAATATCGTGACAATTTGTAAATATTTAACAAAACTAATATTCACTGAATTTGACAGAAAAGATGTCTCAGTGGAATTTATTTCACATAATTACATGCAATTAATTTTAGCTATTTAGATGAATGATTTTCCGGTTATTATCAGTAAAACACTGAAAAAAAGAAACAACAGTCAACGTAGAACACTTTCGTTAGCATAACTAGTCATAAACAGTTTCAAATATTCCGCATATTCATTCTCAGTGTACTCTCCATTTCGTTTATCTCCTTTTATTTATTTTGTTTACACAAAGTACTTCTATTTTTTTAAATATAATAGAAAATCTACCTTGTATCAAGACTGTCTACTTACACAATGATGATATAGTTAAATAAGAAAGATTATAGTACAACATTCGATGTCCGCAATATACTTGATTACGGTGTCTCTCGACTCAGCTGTTTAGTCTTGTTTGCTGTACAAACTTCAGTGGTATCGTTAACCTTGAATACGTCTCTGTCTAATTTCTATTTAGATATTCCACTTGAATGAACAAATATAACTTCAATATTATTGAATTAGAAATATATGTAAGGTTGTGTTTTAAATAACTTGGCAGAAAAGGAAGCTTTTCATTCTGACACATTTGATAATTATTTCATTGCACTGCATAGAGCAGTAAAAATTTCATCAGCACTTCATGAAATATTTAGCAGAATGGGACAATGAAACAATTCCATGACGTTATGTACTCCATTATTTCACATTTATTTGCAGATGTTTGACAAACGTTAAACTTATGGTTATTTACAATGCTACCGAACTCATCGAAAATACCAGCTTAATCTAGATCCTTCGAAAGAATTCATCTATGAAGATCTAAAACTTTGTGCAAAAATGTCAAATAATTCAAAGAGAACTTAGGAAATAATGACATGCAATATACTACTGACAGTTTAGTTTGAACGAATTATGCATTATTAATCTGTGAGAAAGATACAGACAAAAGTCATGATGAAAACATTCAGTGAGGTTCACAACAGTATCCTAAACCGACTCTGAATTTCACTTCCTACGGTAAAAGAGATTTCCCAGCTGTCTTGACGAATCCAGTCTATAGAACAACTAATACACAGTGTTTTAGCTGAATCCTTTTGAGGCCAATGACAGATCTAATCCATTCCCAATGTTTGGAAATTAAAAAGGCCTGCATTCAAAACATAATTAACAATGAACTGTAAAGATTCCAACAAGTACTCAAACAGTATGGATAATCTACAGAGTTCATAATTGAAAAAATGAGAGCGAAGCAGAGGTCCTGAAAAATCTCTAGAGCTCGAAATAAACTGTCGTTTATGGACGTTAAGTTTATTGGGAATACTATGGTTGAGGTTAAAGAGAAATGCTTTTTCGGATCAGTTAGAACAGCACTTTTTATGCTGAGCCGTCGTTTGACTTCTTAAGCTGGCGAACAAATGTAGGATGTGGGAGAAACGAACTGCCACCTTGGGTCACTTCGTTTGAACTACAAATTCACTTGCTTCCATACGGCTAACTGAATAGCCTGTATGAAGCGTGCAATTTCCAAACCAATCGCAGAAGACTATCCTGCTTCTCTGTAAAGAAAACAATGCACGTTCACGTTTAAAATGATTCACAAGCAGGGCCGAACTGTATGTACAGTATCACATTTCGAAATTTATAAACAGCTAGGACAATAGCAATTTACAAATTAGTCCCGAACTCTGTGCCTAGAAAACATTTATTATTATTGTGTTAGATTTTGAGTAGAGCATGGGGCCAACCACGGCTGTGGTCCGGGGTTCGATCTCCGGCCGACGCAACCCTAAACCTCACTAAGTCGACAGTAGAACCAGTAAAGATGGAAAGTTAGGCTAAGTGAGCCTAGCAATCCCACCCCTTAGAATAAAACAACTGCTACTGAAGCTTCACAGCTCAAGCCTGAAGCCCTATGTCCCATTTGGGAAGCAAATTAATAAAATAAAATTAGTGCTTCAGCTTCCTTCACTCTGTTCTCTACAGTTTTTTTAATCCGGTTGTATGATTACCAACAAGCTCCAGTTTTCTATCAGTATGATCTCTTGTATATCACTGCCGGACGCTCGGCAGTGGTTTCACTCATGGGCCTAGGGCGTGATGTTACTCGATGATCTCCTCATCGTGTGTCCACCTCCATTTCATTCGACATACTTTTTAGGCAGCAGATTCTTGGTTGCTTCTTTGCTAGAGTTATCTGCTGTGTACCCTTTATTATCATTTCAACTTCAGTGTTAAGAGAAATCAGCTATCGATGAAAGCCTGAAGCCTGTAGGGAATAGTTTTATTGGAACGCGTATAAAGTCTCTGAACCATACTAAGGCACTATCTTGACACTATTGTTGAAAAATGGGACCGTTCTGTGCTGATCACTGTCGATTTGCACACTGATTTCACTATAATTCACTCCTGTCTTACTTTCTTGATCCGACTATGGCTGGATTCCACATCTTTGTCCATCTTATCTAATTACGGTTGAAACAACGGTACCGAGGTAAGTGAAGAAGACAATTTCCTTAAAATTCCTCCAACTGAGAATTGGTGCTTGTTGTTGTTTGGTTGTCGTCATCACCTCTGCCTTCTCTTTGTTCACTTGAATTTATGCCTTAACTGTATGTTCTGCCGACTTGTTGATTTTGCCTGTAGATCTTCGAGTTTGTGAGTCACCATACATGAAATGTCTGTAAAGTTCAGATAATCCGGGGTGCTTCTATCGGGCCCACGTATGCTCATCTTCTCACTCCTCATGGTCTGCTGCATGACCTAGTCCACCGGAAGCAGATTTGTCATCGATGATAGTGAACAATCCTGCCATCGATGAAATTTCCGTCGTGAATTTCAGGTACACGGTTGACTGACATTTTAGTTTAATGTGTCACTTTGATTCTGATGCAAAGTGTTTTAAGTGAATCCACAGTTTTCCAGGCGTTGACTTGAATGCAAAGCATATTTTAGTCTCCAAAATAGTGAGGCTTAATTTTGTGCATGCAGTGAACTGGAGCATGACTCCGCACCAGTTCCAGACTTCCAATTCCTGCGTACATATCCTTTCAATGCAATTCTGCATCTCTGCTGTGAGTAAGTCTGATTAAGTCTCTGGGTACGTTATCAGTGGTTTTGGGTGAATTCCATATGACCATAGTATTCAATGCGTCGGTGGTTCAGCGGTAGAGCGCTGGCCGACCATGCACGTGTTTATTATTATTAGCATTATATGCATTCATTGGTTGATTTTTGTTTAAAAATGAACTCTGTGCAAGTATGTTATAATTGTTTCTGTAGATATACTTAATAATGTATCTGGGATGTAGGCAGATGATGAGGTGCCAACGAAATTATTGATGGTACCATTTTATTCTGAAAAACTGTTTTTCTTGCTTTGCTCAAATTGAATAGGGAAATACATACATAAAAGATTCTTCGTTTGTCCTTGTAGCCTCTTGAAGGGAAATAAGAAATCATGAAACATTGTAGTAATCCTTGTATACCATAGTTTTAATGAGGTCTTATTGGCAAGATTGAAAAAATACAAAATATTCTGCGAGTTTGAATATTCTCTTTGAAATATGCATTAGTCATCTCCAATGTAGAATTGTGAATACAAAACAAGCAAACATTCACTATTTCAATCCCTAAAAGAACAGGTAAAGTTTGTTGAGATAAGTGAAGAATAGGTTACAGTGTATATTCTTTCAGTTTTCTAAACTATAACGACGAGTTTATGAAGTTATATGAAAAATGCAGAGAAAGGAAAATGCAATCATTGAAGTTATACAAATCTCATTTGAACAAGCCAAAGGTATGTTCAGAAGAAATTTGTACAGCCTCTTAGGTTTCCATGACCATCTGAATAATATCTATAATGTCCTACTTTTGGTTTTCCCCTATCCTTGTAACCACCATTTGATTTTGTTATTTTATTATAATTCATATTCTAGCTGATTCAGTTAACTTATTTGTACCGTGGTATTCTTATGCAGTTCATTAAAAACGTCAAAAATTACGGAAATTATCACAAATGTGGTAATGTTTAGTTTGCCTATGATATGATATATATATCTATTCTACACACCATAATAAAAAAGTATTAAATAACTAATTCCCCAAGTGTGCTCGAGCAGAATGTGACACATAAAGAAGAAACTGATTATAACAAACCTCAAGCTGCTAATTATACATGATTTTCATATTCTCAGTAATCGATGAGTATTGGATCTTGCAGAAGTGAAACAACAATTTCTTCACGATATTAATGTGTATATTTCTAATATATCTGTTCTGTTCAAACTCAAAAAATGTTAAGTACCTATGATAGAATACCAAAGTAATAAAATAAAATATAAATAATATCTGACATTTTAAACGCGTAGGGGAATTCATTTATCTAAGCGTCTTTGTATGTTGAAGTGAAAAGTAATGCTGTATTCAGATTTATGAATCAGCTTATAAGGATTTAAGTCAAATAGGGCTATTAGCATTCATTTGAAGATGGAAGATAATTCAACATGAAAGTCTTTTTTAACTTGCTTAAATATTAAACGAAAACGTACTTCACCCCAACAGGCAGCAATGTGAGATGGTGTCCAGCCATCAGCATCCAAACTGTCTGGATCAACGCCAGATCTCAGTAAAAACAGAGCAGCTTCGGTGTATCCACAAGCGGCAGCCACATGAATCTGAAAATATAAAATAATGTTTCATCAAATTATCAAGCTGTTTGAGAAATAGCAGTTTATCAATAATAGTGAGTAGTCAAGTAAGCGTAAGAGCTCAAAATGAATAAGTGATGAATAATTATTAGGAGATGGCTGACAAGAAATCACAGCAAACAGAATAGAAATTGGGTCACAAAAAATTGACAGTTCCGCTGTACAAATATCGAGAATATAAAGTTGAGGCTGAAGTCGCGATAATATAGGAAGTTGGATAAAACGTTTCTCAACACACCGTTCAAGTGGTAAATTAGGAATTATAAGAGAAATGTAAGCCAAATAATTTGGAAAGATTCAACGATTTGTATCCCTGCAGGTGTTATGATTCCCAAATCTAATAGTATAAATAATGAATGCTTCTCATGTTTTAACACGAATGATGTCCCCAAGTGTCTTCAGTCTCTCAGACCTACCCAGTCCCTTGGTCCTGATGGAGTTCCGGCTGTTATCCTTAGGAAGTGTGCTGACATCTTATGTTACCCGTTAACCGACATTTTCAATGAATCTTTTTCCAAAAGTATTATTCCTGTCTCATGGAAAAATCTCAAGGTTTTTCCCGTGCCTAAATCAACAAGTGGACCTACTCTTAAATTTCGACCGATTGCTATTACCTCAGCTTTCTTAAAAGTTATGGAAAGACTTATTTTACTTAATGTTGAACCCTCTTTAAAGCCTTTTAATGACCCCAACCAGTTTGCCTATAACCATAGTTGGTGTACTTTAGATGCCGCTGTAGTTCTTTATCCTAATATAGTCTCTAGTTTAGATAGAGGAGCCAAATGTGTTCGGTGTGCCTTCCTTGATTACACATCTGCATTTAGCTCTGTACCTAGGTCTCTCTTGTTAAGTAAGCTTGCTGCAACACAGAGTGAGAGCTGGATAAATTAGTGGTTGTATTCCTACTTTTCTGATAGGAAGCAGTACACTGTCTACAATGGAAAGTCCTCCACTACTTCACTTACTTTAGCTGGTGTTCCTCAAGGTGCCGTTCTTTCTTCTTTTCTGTTTTCTTTTTTCTTACATGACTTGCTCTATTCTGATGTAGCCACTTTTGTCAAGTATGCTGATGACCTCTCTGTCTCCATGCCTGTCAACTCTCAGTCAGACTGTTCCATATTAAATAACTTTCTCTCGGAAATTAGTCAGTGGTCCTCTTCAAACGGTCTTAAGCTGAATCAGTCTAAATGTCAGGTAGTAAATTTCACTTTCAGACGAAAAAGTGACCTACGACAACTAGCTAGCTCACATGGTCCCACTATCATTGACGGCATAGAGGTTGAAACTAAATCTAAGGTCAAGTACCTTGGACTGAGTATCTCTTCCGATCTTTCTTGGTCCTCTCACATCTTGCTAGTGACTAGAAAGATGTTTCGCTTAGCGTTCTACGTTAGGAAGTTTAGGCAGTCTGGTATAAAGCAGTCTTTGCTTTCTCAGCTTGTCAATTCCTGTATTCTACCCATCCTTCTTTACTGCTCCCCATTAATCTTTCCTGGACTACTTAAGAAAGACTTCGCTTAGCTGCGTAGGGCACTAAAAGCTGTTAGTAGGGCAAGTGGGATTTCGTCAAACCAACTGGTTAACACCATTGTGGATAGACATATAATGTCATGTAAGAAACTAGCGAATTCTATATTGTCAGACCCCGAACACCCTCCCTATACGCAGCTCTCTCCTTGCATTTCATCTGGTAGAACTAGAAGCAACTATAGGAAGCTATATGCCAGGACTATCAAGTATAAAAACTCCACAATACCTTATCTGGCACAGCTGCTATGTGATGAGAAAACTGTTAGGCATGACACGATCACCTTACTGCGGCACTCTAACAAATAGTTCCCATTAGTTTTTGTTCTCCTTTCATTGTTACTATTATATTGTTGCTCATATATTCTATTACACACTAATTTTATATTTCATATCCTGTGGTGCATTGTTTAAATATGTGAATGCAATGCTGTTCTTTTTTATTTCTCTTTTTTTCCTTTGTTGTTGTTGCTCTTTATTTTTCAATTCTTGTAAAATTTATGAGGTAATTAGATGCAATATTGTAATGCACGCTGAAAATTCCATACCTGTACCACAAATACTGTTTGAAATAAAGCCATTATTATTATTATTAAAATGCAAAAGATGTAGAGCAATATTAAGGTAGTCCACAACATAACAGCTGAATTCTCTAAGCTCTACTTTCATCAAAAATAGTTCTAAGGGGTGAATGAGCGAAGCTAGAGAACGTCGTGCTCATAAGGAATATGCACTGAACTCTGTAGCAGGAACTGCCAAAACTGCGACATTGCCTTTCATGTTTTAAAGAAGAGCATTTGCAGAAGCGCAAAAATGTGTTTCCCTAATCGCTCTCAACAAACAGCTTTGCAGGACTTCACTAATTGTACCCTCTCTGAATTTCAGGTTCACAATTAGTCACAACATCTTCACAACATCTAGGTATCGTGGAGTGCCAGTTCTTCTCTTCTGTGAGGGAGGTGGGATATCCGTTTTCAATTACAGTGTTTCCCAAGGGTTGCAATTCTCTATTCAATGTAACTTCAGTGTCCATGCGTTAGGTTCCTGTCGTCGGAGAGTCAAATAGTCATCGGCCTCTTCAACCTTGTTTTGTTGTTGTTTTGGAATGGTTCTAGACACTTGTAGGATTCTAGTGAAGATGATGTGTCTTCCCGACTGATGTAGATGTTCTGCATACAGTAACAGGGCAAACAATAATTTGTTTTTGTAAGTAATGCATGGTTCAAACCAAAACAGTGACACTACTGATTGTTCTACTGGACATTTTTGTATTTGTACAACCAATAAAAATAAGTCGTTTCATCACTGGTCTAATGTAGCTTTATGTTTAATAGAAAAGTTGTATGTGTGCTATGTGGATTTTCTAGTAAAGTCGTCCATACAATAATGAGCGAAGGTAGTCTGCAGCATGTTTGAAATGTTGTTCACGGCGCGCACAGATTCGACGTGAGTATTGAAAATCCGAATCATGTTCCTTCTGCAGAGTGCAGCAGGTTTCCACACTGACTGCAGAGTAATCAAGGTCTGGCTCGCTTTACGGATCCTGCCCCCTGGCTTCTCTGTCTACACCGCAGTCAACTGAAGTTGAATTGTGGTTTACCTCTATCCACTTTGAATCTTTTCAACTTGATCCTGAAGGGTTCTGGCGCTAGATAGAGGTCTGATCCTGTAACCTACGATGCTTCCCAAATTTGTGTCCACCAGCCTCCATACTCACTTTCTTGAGATTGAGATTGAGATGAAGTTTATCTGAATTTTGGTGTGCCTATCTGGTACAAGTCACCACTAATTGCGTATGTCCTTCTACTTGTACTCACTACCTCCAACCACAGAATCGCTTAAGACACAGAAAACTGCAAACAACTCTCTGTTCTCATTCATTTTACCGAGTATGAAAACACTCATGATGAGTCCCCTCCTGTGTTGCCTGCTTCCAGCTTTGCATTCATCTCGCCTATTGAAATTTTGTTATCACCATCTGGCTGTGGCCTTATCCATTACTGCTTGCAAGTATCTACAGAAGTCCTCCCTGTTCCATTGGTCTGTGTTGTTGGTAGCATTGTGTGTAGCACTGTATAATTGTAACCTGCCTTCCTTCCTTCCTTTTCAATCCAATCTTGATGAAGCTCTTCCATGGAGATAATTGGTTCCCACGGTATCGCAGCCTCCAATGTCGTTGTTGACATCAGAATAGCGACTCCTCCAGCGTATCTGTGTTTGTCGTCTAGGTGGTTTTAGTAGATTATTGACTCTCCAGTTTGCAATTTCGACAGTCCACTTCCGTTACATCTGTTCTCACAAAACTCCACCACTTTTGTATTGTATCTTCTTGGTTCTCTAGCAATCTGAACGGCCTTTTGAGCTAGCCTCCAACATGGTGTGGACATTCCATGTCCCGATGATTACTTTAGCCCTCATCGAAAGAATAAACATCAGTTCACTTGCTTCCCGAAGGCTTTCAGCAGCCTAAGTCATTTCGTCTCTCCAATTTCAACGAAGAATAAATTTATTCTTCTATATTTTTCGTGTGCTATGAAATTCCAGTCGCGATTAGATAGATTTTCTGCTGTAGGATCGTTAGTGTTACTTCCAAACTTCCTTCTTTCTCCGGGATTTAGACTCAGCCGTAAACTAATAAGCTGGTGAATTTAGCGAGGTTGCGTGCCTCTTGAAGATATTGAGCTGAATTCCTTGATAACTGAAAGCCACGTTACAGATGCAATTCCAACTCTGTATTTTCATGAAATTTGCGCAGAGAAAATATCAGTAATCTCCACGCTAACTACGGTATATATATATATATATATCATTAGCATAGAACTATTCGATACGTATCAATCAACAAGTTCTCTTTTGGTATATATCTTTGTATTCATATGATCGACGTAGTGAATTTCTTTCGTGACATGTAGTCAGGTGCTGGATTTTTAGTGTATGCATCCTTCTGATCAGTCATGTGTCCTGCCATTTGCTTTAAATATCTAGTAATGTTTTTGAAGTAGATTGAATAAACAGGGACAGTTTGATAAAGTAGTTTTTTGCTAATGAGCTCACAGTATTATATGTAAACACTAATAATTTCTGGGACACTTTGGTAATTACCTTCGCACATATTAGTAGTTTTATTTAATTTTTGAAACAAATAAATTTTTATTGCATTGACAATATCATGTTGTTTGCACGCAAGTAGAAATTTATGTGGACTAAATTCAAATAATATATAGTGCTAAAGAAATCTGTTTGTAAAATGTTACGTAGGAACGATTTAAGCAACATTACATTTTTAAAAGCTACCTTGTTCACACAACTTTCAATTTAAAAGTTGCCGAATGTCTCATATTTGACTTGTTTTACAATTTGCGCTAAATATGTGAACAAGTATAAATGTGTGTAGGTACAAATACTACGAAAAAAGGCAACTTACTGGTGCAGCGCCCTGTGAATCTAATATATTTAAATTGCACCCTTTTGAAAATGCCATTTTTAGATCTGAAAGCATCTTCTTCTCTGGAGCAGTACGAGCATCTTCTATCTCTCTGGATGTTATTCCTGCATCAAACAACATCAGAGTTTAAAAAAAAAGTAATTGTCACTGGTAGTGAAACAGAAAGAATATACACACAAAAGTCTGTTGATTAGCCTTAATACCTTCAGATAAAAAGAATGGTAGTACATTTAAGGAGAGATATTATCAGTTTTGAATGTTTTTCTAGCAAAAATACAACACTTTAACACTACTGGACTTCATTTGCTTTTTTCGCTTTGTTTTGATTTTAATTGCAATTATCCCCTTTGAATGAAGCTAAGTGTTATGAGAAAGTGTGATGAATGCTTATTTTATCATTCTGAGGTATATATTAGTCTATGTACCACCGATTGATTTAGATGAGTAGATGTATACCACTCACATGAACCAGCAGTGCCGGCTAACTAAATCAGAGTGATTTAAACATAAGACGACAATTTCGTCACTTGCTACACACAGTTTCCATTTCATTCAGTTATCTCTGTTTCTGGTTTTAGAATCCGAAAAATATCTCTTATAATATGACATTTCAATTTTTATCAAGCTTACAGCTCTAATAACAAAACTATTCAGAGAATAAATGAATTGCTTTCAGTTATTTTTATCGTTAAGTTTACAGTCAATCTGACTATTGGTTTCAATTAAGGAATTTTTTTTCCTTCACGTTCCTCAGTGGAACATAGGGCTCAAGCTAGCGGCTTGAAGTTTCTGTAGCAGTGTTTATATTACAGGATGGGGTTGCTAGCCTCATGCCCAACCTTTCCTCTTCACCAGCATTATTTCTGGCTTAGCGAGGTAAAGGAGTGCATCGGCCGGGGATCGAACTCCGGACCATGTGCATGGTCGGCGACCGTCCCAACCGCTATGCCACTGACGCCAATTAGAGAATACGTTTACAAAACTAGAAATCCTACATTGTCAGTTAAATCATAACTATAAACATCAATTCATATTTTTTTGTGAATTATCTTTCGGACCTGACTTCTGGTTAGCCGTAACAATGTCACTTTGTTTCTTAACATAGTGGAATAACCTACCCATTTACTATTTAGTGCACATTATTGCACCCATAATTTGGTCATGCATTATACTCATTTAAACAATAAGACAGTGGGAATAAATGAAATCAAATAACATGAACATAATGAAACGCACGGAAAATCGAATAATGAAATACGCGATGAAATATAGTCATCTCAAAATAAAACTAGTTGAAGATAACGAATCTCTCCACAAAATAGCTACCAAGAATAATACTACATCCATTTATTCTATTACACAACAATAAACAAAAATAATGAAGTAGAAACAGAACTGAAATAAAGCAAGAACCCAATGTGTTATTGTATCATTGATGTAAGAATAGAAATTGTGCATTGTGTTAGAGTATAATTCCATTATGGGTAAAATTTATTTTGATAAAATCTCAACGTGTTATACGGTAATATTTACTGATGACTTTTCGAACACAATTTATTGCTCATAACCATATAAAGGTAATCACACGACTTTCGAGCTTCGTTTATAAAGTACCATTATTTTCCATCGCTTGATTTGATTGGTAGTAGTATCTTCCATATTTCTGGTATTTGCGTTGAGTAATTTCTGTTGCATATGTTGGGTGTAAATTCGATGAGCCAGGATTCAATAATCAATCTCTCTCTCCACTTACATAGATTACTTCTTAGAATCTCAACCCTCTCCCAACCTATTGTGTGGTTGTTTGTCAATGCATGCAGTGCAATCGCTGAGCTTTTTTCTAAATTACCTATCTACTTGGGGTCAACCATTCTTGCCTTAACTGAATTGTTATGATCCCACAATCTGACTACCCCGGACCTAGTAGTCTGACCTATGTAGTTGGCCTCATAGTCATTGCAGGGTATTTTGTAAATAATTTAATTTTGTCTAATTAGGTCAACTGGGTCCTTTAACCTACAGAGCTTGTCCCTTAAATAGTTTGTAGGTTTGAAAGCCACTCTAATTCCTGCTTTATTAAGAATCCTACGTAGGGTCTCAGTTGCCCCCTCCTTATATGGTGATGGTGACATATTCTCTCTTATTTATGTTATCATTACTAGTTTGACAATTATTTTTATTTTGTTTTTGGCCTTTTCCGATCTTCCTAATAAATTTTATAGGATAGTTATTTAACACCAACGCCTCTTCTATCTGTTTTACTTCATCATTTAGGTCTTTTCTTGTGCTACTTAGTGCTACTGCTCGATTTGTTGGACACTTATCTGAGCCTGCCTTAACAGTTAATGGATGAGATGAATTAGAGTCTATATATAAACCATAGGCACATCCATTTTTTAAAAACTCAATAAAATGTAGGAGTTGTGACTTTATTGATAACAATTCACGGAGATCATCTGTTGGATAAGGCTTGTATTTACACTTACGTTGGTGCAGATAAGAAATAGTTTTAAAACATTTGAAACTAATCTGGTTAATCTTAACCTGTCTTCTGAGTATGCCCCATGCCGAACTTTCACAAGCAGTCAGACAAATAGCTGATTGCTTCTTGAGTGAGTACCAGAAGTACAAATTTTGTGTGATAAATCAGTCCATTCATAGATTTATAAATTTCAGTGCTATAACACATTGAAAGAGTAACAAAAGTTTATGAGAGCATTCACATCTCCTGGCAAATGAATACTAACTCACCTGATTTGCGCATTTGACTCTGGAGAAAATTGGAGGTTTTCTCGTCATCACAGATGTCATAGGGAATTAAACCATCTGCATTGCAAGCTTTCAGATCACCACCACTAAAAATGATAATCCAGAGTGCTTTGGTTTTAACAAATATGCAGACAGTCAAAATACTTAATAAGGAAAACACTTATTAAGTATCATATTAACAATAATTTAATTAAATTTGTATTTGTAATTCATTTTTAATAGATGTCATGATTCACATGATTTAATTATCAATACAAGTCTATGCAGAAGAACGGCAGGGTCTTAACTTTCACAAAAAGCTCGAAGTGTTAAATGCTGACAAAGTCGTATGAATGCATCATTCGCTAACACAAAATTATTTATTTAGCATATTCAGTCAGGGATTAAATTGTGGCTGATCTTTAGAAAGCAAGCCTAATGCAATTTTTTAAGGGAAGTAAATGCTATTTTGCCTCTATTTGAACCTGACCTCAAAATGAACCCACTTACAACGATAAAGTCGCAGTTTGCCGTAATGCAGGTTATGTATAAGTAATTTACTAGAAAACTAAAAATAGGTAGCGTCCGTTAAGACATTCTTGTTATCGTTGGTAAAATCTTAAAATAAATCGTTAATCAGATGCTGTTCAGTGGTGTTGGTTGGCAGTCAGGCTAAAACTAGAAATTATAGAAAGTAGAATTCAAGGGATATTGGATTGCAAAACAGTGGCTAAATAGATAAAGGTGCTCCTTATTCACCTGAAGGACCTGTAAGCACTCCCTAATGGGTTCGTCGGTGCAGCTCACTGAAGAGTAAGAGCCATATTAATTGCTATTAGGCCATCGACTGGTGTCAGTTAGTGACAAAATGTGTGTTGGTAAAATGCAAAGTTTAAAAACCTTACAAATTAGAGTCTCCCTGAAAAAAGCCGTGCTATCTGGCATGCAAATACATCCCTCAGATAGGGCTCAAACCGGATAAAACGCTGTTTCTGTATTTCGCTACTAACCATCATCTATGAAGTAATGTCAACTTATTTTACCTTGTAACTGACAGAAATTGGATTTTGGCACGGCTTTCTGTTGTGCATTTAAAAAAATAATCGTAATTAATTACTGGGTGCAGATAAAGATTTTAGGATATTTGCTTGAACTGCTTCTAGAAAACAAAACGATGTACCACGTTTTCTCTCACTTTTCCAATTTCACTAAAAAATTTAACTGTTTGCATTTTCGAAAAAGGCATGTGCAAGGGTTACACTCACGTTTACTAGAACTTAAAACAGTCTGTTATTTGACTATATACACAGTGACCAAGAAGCAAATTATAAAGCTAGAAAAGTTAAAATTACTTAAGACTCAATAAGATGATACGATTAAGGAACAAATTCCCATTGTAACATTAAGAACAACGTATTCAGCGAAGAGACTCTTTCCAATGAATACATCATCAAACTGTACGATGATTCTTTAAGAAAATGTATCCCATAAGGAAACTTGAAAGAAAGGATATAAGATCATCTACTAGATTCAGTCTAATTTGCCATGCTTTCTACATTTGAGAATTCTGAAGACAGCGGAGGCATTGGACATCCATGAATTTAAGGCGGACCTTTGTGTACTCAAATAGTATGTACAGTACTTATTTGTAGTTTTGCTGTAGAAGGGAATGGAGGTATAAATATTTTGTTATATTTTGTTTTGTTTCTTTAATCTATGCAACTTTCCCTAATTATTAGGATTGCTACTTTTCTTGATTTCTTTTCAAAAAGACTTAGATATTATTTCAACTTTCCTGTGTATCCCTATGAATCGATATTACTTTTCAATGTTCAAATCTATCTTATCAAATCTCTACACATGTTACATAATCTTTCACTCATCTACTAATCCTATTAATCTTATTAATTATACATCTCTTTGCAAGATCTATACATCATATGAACTGTTCTATATGTGACATAATTCGCATTACCAAAGGAAATTTGACTGTGAATATAATTCCAGAGATTTCATCTCGTTTCACAGAATGTATGGAAAACTTAAATTTAAATTTCCCCATGGCATATAGTTTCTGAAAACAGTCATTGTACAGCTAGATAATAAATTAATCAAAATAAAATTTTCTTTATAATGAAGATAATAAACTCGCTGGAAAATATGCTCTCAAGGTGAAAAAATTATAAGATGGAAAGCGAAATAGTTAAGTCATAACAACAGATAGGAGACAGGTAACTAATCAGTTACAAATGTAATTTACTAACCAGTAGTAAAACGAACCACAAAAGAAGTGGAAAATAGTGTTATAAACGTAATAGGTCACTACGTACACTAGCTTCCTGGCTCATGGGTGAGTCTAAATCAGGGAGAAAGAAGGAAGTTTGGAAGTAAGACTAACGAAACTACAGCAAAAAAATCTATCTAATCGCGACTGGAATTTCATAGCACACGAAAAATATAGAAGAATAAATTTATTCTTCGTCGAAATTGGAGAGACGAAATGACTTAGGCTGCTGAAAGCCTTCGGGAAGCAAGTGAACTGATGTTTATTCTTTCGATGAGGGCTAAAGTAATCATCGGGACATGGAATGTCCACACCATGTTGGAGGCTAGCTCAAAAGGCCGTTCAGATTGCTAGAGAACCAAGAAGATACAATACAAAAAAGGTGGAGTTTTGTGAGAACAGATGTAACGGAAGTGGACTGTCGAAATTGCAAACTGGAGAGTCAATAATCTACTAAAACCACCTAGACGACAAACACAGATACGCTGGAGGAGTCGCTATTCTGATGTCAACAACGACATTGGAGGCTGCGATACCGTGGGAACCAATTATCTCCATGGAAGAGCTTCATCAAGATTGGATTGAAAAGGAAGGAAGGAAGGCAGGTTACAATTATACAGTGCTACACACAATGCTACCAACAACACAGACCAATGGAACAGGGAGGACTTCTGTAGATACTTGCAAGCAGTAATGGATAAGGCCACAGCCAGATGGTGATAACAAAATTTCAATAGGCGAGATGAATGCAAAGCTGGAAGCAGGCAACACAGGAGCGGACTCATCATGAGTGCTTTTATATTCGGTAAAATGAATGAGAACAGAGAGTTGTTTGCAGTTTTCTGTGTCTTAAGCGATTCTGTGGTTGGAGGTAGTGAGTACAAGTAGAAGGACATACGCAATTAGTGGTGACTTGTACCAGATAGGCACACCAAAATTCAGATAAACTTCATCTCAATCTCAATCTCAAGAAAGTGAGTATGGAGCCTGGTGGACACAAATTTGAGAAGCATCGTAGGTTACAGGATCAGACCTCTATCTAGCGCCAGAACCCTTCAGGATCAAGTTGAAAAGATTCAAAGTGGATAGAGGTAAACCACAATTCAACTTCAGTTGACTGCGGCGTAGACAGAGAAGCCAGGGGGCAGGATCCGTAAAGCGAGCCAGACCTTGGTTACTCTGCAGTCAGTGTGGAAACCTGCTGCACTCTGCAGGAGGAGCATGATTCGGATTTTCAACACTCACGTCGTGAACAACATTTCAAACATGCTGCAGACTACCTTCGCTCATTATTGTATGGACGACTTTACTAGAAAATCCACATAGCACACATACAACTTTTCTACTAAACATAAAGCTACGTTAGACCAGTGATGAAACGACTTATTTTTATTGGTTGTACAAATACAAAAATGTCCAGTAGAACAATCAGTAGTGTCACTGTTTTGGTTTGAACCATGCATTACTTACAAAAACAAATTATTGTTTGCCCTGTTACTGTATGCACAACATCTACATCAGTCGGGAAGACACATCATCTTCACTAGAATCCTACAAGTGTCTAGAACCATTCCGAAACAACAACAAAACAAGGTTGAAGAGGTCGATGACTATTTGACTCTCCGACGACAGGAACCTAACGCATAGACACCGAAGCTACATTGAATAGAGAATTGCTACCCTTGGGAAACACTGTTATTGAAAACGGATATCCCACCTCCCTCACAGAAGAGAAGAACTGGCACTCCACGTTACCTAGATGTTGTGACTAATTGTGAACCTGAAATTCAGAGAGAGTACAATTAGTGAAGTCCTGCAAAGCTGTTTCTTGAGAGCGATTAGGGAAACACATTTTTGCGCTTCTTCAAATGCTCTTCTGTAAAACATGAAAGGCAATGTCGCAGTTTTGGCAGTTCCTGCTACAGAGTTCAGTGCATATTCCTTATGAGCACGACGTTCTCTAGCTTCGCTCATTCACCCCTTAGAACTATTTTTGATGAAAGTAGAGCTTAGAGGATTCAGCTGTTATGTTGTGGACTACCTTAATATTGCTCTACATCTTTTGCATTTTAATAATAATAATAATGGCTTTATTTCAAACAGTATTTGTGGTACAGTTATGGAATTTTCAGCGTGCATTACAATATTGCATCTAATTACCTCATAAATTTTACAAGAATTGAAAAATAAAGAGCAACAACAACAAAGGAAAAAAAGAGAAATAAAAAAGAACAGCATTGCATTCACATATTTAAACAATGCACCACAGGATATGAAATATAAAATTAGTGTGTAATAGAATATATGAGCAACAATATAATAGTAACAAAGAAAGGAGAACAAAAGCTAATGGGAACTATTTGTTAGAGTGCCGCAGTAAGGTGATCGTGTCATGCCTAACAGTTTTCTCATCACTTAGCAGCTGTGCCAGATAAGGTATTGTGGAGTTTTTATACTTGGTAGTCCTGGCATATAGCTTCCTATAGTTGCTTCTAGTTCTACCAGATGAAATGCAAGGAGAGAGCTGCGTATAGGGAGGGTGTTCGGGGTCTGACAATATAGAATTCGCTAGTTTCTTACATGACATTATATGTCTATCCACAATGGTGTTAACCAGTTGGTTTGACGAAATCCCACTTGCCCTACTAACAGCTTTTAGTGCCCTACGCAGCTAAGCGAAGTCTTTCTTAAGTAGTCCAGGAAAGATTAATCGGGAGCAGTAAAAAGGGATGGGTAGAATACAGGAATTGACAAACTGAGAAAGCAAAGACTGCTTTATACCAGACTGCCTAAACTTCCTAACGTAGAACGCTAAGCGAAACA